TTGCTTCATGCCCGTCAGCATCAGGTCCAGCTTGGCGTTGGGCGCCACCGTCACCTCTCCGCTCACCGCGTCGATCGCGAACTTGTCGATGCCGACGCCGTCGAGACGGTACGAGACAGCGCCGTTGTAAGGGGTCGGGTCGGCGTCCGTCGCCGAGACGCGCGTGATGTGCGTCCCCGCGGCAACCGTCTCGTCGACGACGACCTCGTACGCGTCCGGATTGAAGATGGGAGAGTTGTCGTTGACGTCCTGCGCGGCGAAAGCGAGATCGTTGCGCGATTAGCACCGTGGCGCCCTCTACCGGCATAATAAATCGGACACTAGGCTTGCCAGCGCCCTCTTCCGGCATAATAAATCGGACACTAGGCTTGCAAGCGCCCTCTACTGGCATAATAAATCAGACACTAGGCTTGCCAGCGCCCTCTACCGGCATGATAAATCAGACACTAGGCTTGCCAGCGCCCTCTACCGGCATAATAAATCAGACAATAGGCTTGCCGGCGACATCTAGTGACACAGTAATTAAAACACCAAGCTTCCTGGCGCCCTCTAGCGGCACAGTAAATCAAACACTAAGCTTGCCAGTGCCCTCTAGTGTCAAAGTAATTCAAACACAGGGCTTGTCGGCGCCCTCTAGGCGATTACGGCCGCACTAGCTACGTGCCGCAAACGCATCTGACATCGTCGGCTTCAAATACTGTATACGCCATATTTTTCGCGTACAGATATTTTCGCGAATTCGATCAGACTTGACGGACACTTTCGCGGGTGGTTAATTTCGCGGTCGGTGAATTATGAATTAATGAAATTATCATAATAATGAAGAATGAATTAATCGGTATTATTCGGTATTAATTATTCGCGCGTCGTTATTTTCGCGGTCGGGGACGCGTTCGCAAAACTCGCGAACATTAAACCACCGCGAAATATACACAGCGTATACAATACTCGGACCACCGCGTCGCTTCAAAGATGGCGGCGGCGGCGCAGACGATCTCTCTCGCGCTCACCTCGACGTATATCGTCACGGGAACGGTGGAGTTGAGCGGCGGCACGCCGTGGTCGATCGCCATGGCGACGAGCGAGAAGCTGCGGTACCACGGCGACGTCGCTCCCTGCGTGTTCGGGTCCATCAACTCGAAGTCGATCGGCGTCCGCGCCGTTATCACGCCTGCAGCGATAGATTCACACGTGATGGAAGGTGTTCTCGAAGATTACAAATTTATTACAATATTTATCGTATCGATTACAATGTTTAATTAAAGTAATTTAAAAGGCCGACGAAACAGCGTGCAAAACTATCTACATTCCTAATCTCCTCCAACTCGATTCCAACGACGACCTTGAAAACGGGAAGGGAATTTCACCGATCAACTTGCTCCTGAAGAAGGGGATCAAGTGAGCCAGGAAGACTACATCACAGATTACGTGGGAGAGGGTGGGAGATGCTAAGCAGGCAGCGGCGGCGGAGGAGGAGGAGGGGGAAGATGGGAGATGCTGAGCAAGCAGCGGCAGCGGAGGAGGTGGGGGAGGGTGGAAGCTACTAGGGCTGGGGAGTGGCAGCGGAGGTGGGGGAGGGTGGGAGCTGCTAGGGCTGGGGGGTGGCAGCG